GAATTTTTCAATGATTTGACAAACTGCTGTTGATGCAGCCTGAAATTCTTTTTGTCTTTTTGTACAATCACATTGCTGACTTGTGTTTATTTTTAATCAATTATTATTCTAAGATTTTATTTTCATTTCAATCTTTTCTGTTGTTTACCCTGATAACTCCCACTTTGTACTTGTATGTTTATCTTCTATCTCCCATAGCTCTATATTATGTTGTGACTTGCTGTTGCATATCTCTTATCAGTTGTCTACTACTTACTTTACTAACCACATCCTGGTCTCATTTTAGTTTTCAACTAATACAGTAATTAACTTGTACTCCTCTGCATTGAATGAGAGGCTGCAGATGATGAATTTCACATTTTCAATCCATAAACTTTGCAAATCTTTATTGTTGTGCATAACTCTTACAAATCATGCTATGTTAATTCTAGGACATTAAGAGAGCTGTTGGCCTACACAATAATGCCACCCTGAAATTAAGGCTGAGATCTCAAAACCAAGTGTCCGTTATTTATCAGTCACAATAATAATTATTGAATAATTTAAAAAGTTTGTGGCCAAGGGAATACTGACCCCGCTATTTTAAGCAATCCCACAGGAAGCGTTTCAGAAAATACCACAAGACCTTCAAAATGTGTAAAATTTCATCAATAATTGTTCCCAACATATCCTCTGTTTTGCAAACAGTATGCATGTCACTAGTTTTATCATCAAGCATAACCACATGCATTTTCACTGTATTAACACGAGCTGAATAAAGAAAAACAAAAATCCAAACAATAGGGTAAGAATAAAGTTTAAAGCTTTATTCATCTACTTGGTATGAGTACAACAGCAATGTAGGTTATAGTGACATTAGGGTGACATTTGCAAACAGCATGAAGAGCAACAATGGCCATTTTGCAGAGAAGCAGATTTAACTCTATGGATTGGTGGCTTTCTTTTTCAACAAAGGCTCTTAATCAGAGCTATTCCATAACAATAATAAAAAGGGAGAGAGGCAGAGAAAAGGAGAAATTCTGAAAAAGGCTTTTTCTCAGTTCTGAACATCAGTTGGTCATGGGAAAAATGGATAAATTTAAACCTTGAAATTTTAAACAAAATATTATTAATTAAAGCCATGTTCCTAAAAATCAGAAATATGGCTTCATCAACATAATGATTGTCAGTAATTTATACTACTTTGTAGAAAATATTGATGTTAGCAATACACAGTATAACTGAATAACCAGATTCTTCTCTAGGTGGCTGAGACATAGCCTAATATTCAACCTTTACCATCTGATTCAACTGGGCTTTATTTGGGGCAAATGTAGTGTGCAAATAAGCACTCATTCTTGAGGGTTACCAGATCTGGCATGCAAAAATCATGAGATAAGAATAAAAATATTTTTAATACCTTGTCTTTCCAACTCATGGTTTACCAGATTCTTGAAATCCAAATCTGATAGCCTTAGATTTGGATGTAAGATCCCTACCCTTAAAATCTGTACTCTTGAAGAGGTATTTGTCATAAATTTACTTTATAGGCACTAACATCAAAATGTATGTTTTAGTGGTTTTAGATAGAACCCTTTGGAAAATAAAGATCAAATTCATGTTGGGTCATTACAATATTTCTACACATGAATATCCCAAGAGTGTGATACTAAACATATTCATTCTTTATCAATCATTCTGCATATTGAAGAAAATAATTTATAGATCCTTTTTCATTATTTCTTGACTTTATATATTTGGAATTAAACTTGCTTTGACAATCTTGGAGAGCTATCACTGTTTTTCGAAACCAAGAAATAAATTATTTTAACAGCTCTTTTGGGGAAGCAATTTAGTTCATTTCTTCATACTATATTTCTGCTGCAGAGTTTTTCTGGAAGTGGGTAGATGGAATTGTAACATGAAAAAGGATCTGAACCAAGATATCCCTTTTTAGTAGATTGCATTAAAAATGTACAACAGAAGAAAGGGCGTCATACAATGTAGATAAGCACCAATAAAATATTCTTCTGGAGATAATTTTCTTCTCATGTAGTTTCTAAATTCGTTCTACCCACAGCACTACAAAGATAAATAAATAATTGAACATCACACATCACAAGTCCTCCATGATGACAATCTGCATTCTGCAGTGCTTCTATAGTATCATTCTGCAACAGCCATGTGTTGCTTATTCATCTTTTGTTTGACATTTACTTGCATTTTTAAAAGATGTGATTTTGCTGTGTGCAATACCTTCTCAAATAACGATGGTGAATTTGTTCATCACTACAGTGAAGTCCATCCACTTCACTCAGCTTTGGTATTACTTCTCCCATTAGAATACACTTGAATCAGTATTTTTTTTTCATCTTAAAATTTGTACTACAATGGATACATATAAGGTGAGGTGGTGGTGATAGTGGTAAGTAAGTAGTTAGGTAATTGAATTATTTGTACAATAGCACTTCAAGTCATTAGTACATTTGTAAAACTACAGAGGGGAAAACTCAGTCTTTCTGATCAGTTCTATTTTAGCACCATATTAAATATGTTTGCTGGTTTTCTGGTCCTTTATATTTATAATAAGATCCTTCTAATCTTCTTTTATAAAATTAATATAATTGAGAAGTAGTCTCCAAAATTAATTGTACTTTCTCACAAAATAAATTCAGGTAGTCCTTGACTAGCAATACTTCATTTAGTGACCATTCAAAGTTACAACAGCACTGGAAAAAATGACATTGATCATTTTCCACACTTACAACTATTGCCGCAGTCCCCATAGTCATGTGATCAAAATTTGGATGCTTGGCAATTAGTTCTTATTTATGATGGTTGAAGAGTCCCAGAAAAACTCAGTTAACAAATGTCTTACTTAACAACAAAAATTTTGGGTTCAAACATGTTGTAAGTCGAGGACTACTTGATTGCATTTTTTTTTTAAAAAACTGAACTATCCATAATTGTAAGCTTTATTACAAAAGTATGTCATGCTCACATGTCAGAAAATAAAAGTGGAACATACAGAATAATATTCATTTTCATCTTGAAATTGTAGAAACCCAATTGCAATGTCATTTTGCAACAGAACAGCCCAACTACTGATGAATAAGCTAGGAATTGTTATTCTTGAAGGATCGTCATCAAGTGTAAGTTTTCATTTGTGCTCACACATTTTTTTGGAATTACAGATTATTACAGGGATTGGTCAGAGATGAACTAATTGTCCAATCGTGAATTAATTTGCATTCTTTTTAGTAACCCCCTCCCCCTATTTTTGTTTCAGGGTGTAAAAGTTTGCAAAGCATTGGAACGTTGTCTTAACTAGCCATTTATTGTAAAGGAGAAGGTCTATTTACAGGGAATATCTTACTTCTAAAAGGTAAAAAGTGTCATTGGTCTTGAAATAATACGTGTGGAAACTGAATATAGAATTCAGGTTTTGTTAAGTCAAAACTGATTGACTAATCAAGAAGGAGTGGGGAAACACTTTTGTGGTTGGAACCAATAAACGCTTGGCTTCCGGGGCAATACGAAGCATATATGGAATGATTTCATATAGGAGACATGCTGTAGGTTACACCTCTTACTTCTCAGCTTAGGGAAATGCAATTGAAGAAGAAAAGGCAATGGAAATATCATTCTGTGAGGAGGTGGGAAGCAACTATTCTAATTTTCAAGATATAAACATCCTGAATGAAAAAAAGCAGCAGTAGATATGGTGGATGTTGGCTAATTTAACCAACTGCAATTAGGATATGCTGCTTTAATCCTTTCTGTTCACCAGACACAAATGTCTGTCCAGAGCTTATTTGTACTGAAAGCAATGAACCAAGGACAAAAAAGTAGAATGGAATTCTAATCACACAAGAACCATTGATGTGCAGTTGAACCGTTAATGTGTCCAGGAAAAGAGGCAGCTCAGATGGCCATCTTCAACTGATTGGCTTCCAGTCCAAAATTTGCTTCCTTTGTAAATCACTCATCAAATTGTCCTCTTGGCTAAATTATAGCTAGTTTAATAGGCCAGTTGAATACATAATTACAGAAAATTATAGAATTCAAACACAACTAAACATTGTCACTTTAAGGTTTTCTTGAGCCTCCTGACTCTTGCTACAATTTGTTTTAATTGATATCGCCTGAGATAATAGATTTAGAAAGATTAAAACTGTCATGTGGCATGCTTGCCCTCTCCCTCATCATAGTTTATTTATTGTTGGACACTCTTTTCTCACTATTGCCAACAGTGCCCTTCAGCTATTTTGGATTTTAATTTCTAGAATATATTAATTCCAGGGTAGGATATTGGAGTTTGCGGGAACCTGTGAACTAAATTTTTCTAAAGAAAAAAAATATCCTTGGCCAGGTGATAAATTCCCACAAACAATAACATATCACCAGTATGGCTGTACCATTCCTTCTCCTATTGTCAGACCCAAGTCCAGTGAGATCCAATCATGCCCAATCCTTTATTTGTTTACCCCTAATTGGCAGAATCTTACCAAGCTGGTAACTTTCTAAGGCGTCAGATATATCATGAGAGATTTTAGGGTCTGGCTACCCTGAATCTCTTCCCCATCTTCCCCATCCAACTTGGGACTACACAGACTCTGGATCTGAGTCTCTCCTGGGGAAGATCCTTTCACACTTAATTGCAATGTGATAGAATGATCAGCATTTGATGAAGTTAACATTTTACATGAATTCTCCTACACAATCTTCTAAAGATCTGTGCTGATATGCTAAAAATCTGTATCATTTTGTACACAGGCTGCAAAAATTATTTAGTGGCCGCAAATAAAACTCTTTTCTCTTTGCTTCCACATAATAGTCCTCTGGGTTTTTTCAGACCAGATCTAGTAGCCTAATTTAGGAGGATAATAAACTAAGCGCAAAGAGATTAGCCATTAGTATCTTGGCCACCTGTTGTGAATTCAGATATGTCACTGGAATCCACCTATCTTAGCTCTTAAGTGTAAGAGCAAAAAAATACTACAAGTCTTTCTTGCATAAACCTTACAATAAGAATTGCTAAACAGGGGAAGAGATACAGAATCTGTAGCCTTACAGATGTTGTTGAATAACATTACCAAGTGTTGCCCCACTCCAGGGCTAATGATAAGGAAAGCAGGGAATTGGGGGTCTTGCAACATCTGGAGAGCAACAGGTTCCTCATCTATGCTACACAGACTTACTACATGACAAGCTTCATTTAATTTAGTGAATTTTTGCTTCTAAATTAGTACAAACTATTGTATATATACATACAAGATTACACTGTTGGCAGAAACTGCACATTAAAAGAGAAAAAGTAAAAATTTATATAGTGGCAGTCATCACTCAGGTAAAAAATTAATGTATCACTGCATCCTATTTTTCAGCCAAAAATGGCTTCTGATTCTATTGAAGAAAATTTTGTGTGTCCTTTATGGAAGATGCACAATCTACCAAGCAATTTAGGTAGACAAGAGGCCAGGTGACACAATATCCTCTAAAATAAAAGGCATGTAGTTGAGTGGATCATTTGATTCAGAAAATTTTCAGAGTTTTTTTCAGGCACTGATAGTAATACATAAGAAGAAAAAAACCTATTTGCTACTGTGTTTAGTAAAATAACAAAAAATTCAAGTCTTCTTATATGAATGAGTGATTACATGAAGAAAATCAAATTACCGTAAATGTTTAACATGACATATTGTGCAATATTATCAGTGCATACAAGAAAATAGTTTGAATGGTCACTGTGTAGCAGCAAAGTCACTCTATATAATCGTTAAAATATAATTTCCGAGTTCACTATTCTGGTAGACATTTAAAAATGTAACCTTTGCAGTTGGAAGGTACTAGTATTTGAAACATGCTGTTCTAATCCTGGAACAGGTTATGCAGAGTACTTTGAAAATGTCCAATCTTTTGATTGCTTGGTATTAGTTGATCTCACAAAACACTCTTCAATCTTCAGTTTCACAGTAAGGATGATAGCATAATGACTTTCTAGGACACCTATACTAGATCCTATGAAATATGATCATGTATCAGATACTACAACTTATGAAAGGAGAACTGGAGACAGTCTCAGAGTTAAAACATGGTTGTATGCTTTTCAGTTGACCACAATAAGTTATTGCCCCAGGACAAACATTCTTTTTCTTGGACCAGCATGATTAATATTGTTTATTTTAACATGAAAAGGAACAACATCAATACATTGGCCCACGCAGTGCTTATTTTCAAGCACAATCAAGCAATGCATGACCACACTATGTTATAGTGATTTTCACACAGCAAAGGTCACATCTAAATTAAACTTAAGATTGCATCACTATGGCTTACATTTAACATGATAGTTGAAATAACTATCATTAAACCAAGAAACCAATTTTTGGTTTACATGCTTGCTCTTGTTAATTTTCAATCAAGTGGTTTAAAGCAAAAATTATATTCAGTCAGTGCAGGGAAAGATGGAGGAACAAAGAGTCAACAACAAAACATGGCAATTTACTACCAGATATGTGCAAATGCAAGCTGGGAGCTTGTTCTCAAAAAAATTGGCCAGTATGCAGCATAGTAGAATACCTCTGTTCAGCAGCCTATTTTATTGATGGGTACTGCAGAAAGAATAAGCTGTTTGACAATAAGGCCAATTAACTGTAATAGCTGTACCCAGAGGATAAATATATTACACAGGACTCCTTCCTTAACTATAGAATATATTCATTCATTGCTTGGAAAGTCCATGACCATAAAATTGTGAGCTGGCATCCTACGGGCACTTCCTGGGTCTTCTCAATTAGTGTTTTCAACCTCTGAATGAAAGTCAAGGGAAAATGAGGAAGGCAGAAGACTGAATATATATGCCATATAAAAACTTCATGAGTGAAAGCCATGACTGAGATTTGAACAAAGAACCTTTCATGTCTCTGCCTATGGTAAGCTTGACAGGCCATTGCACAATCTCAAGGGATTAGTATGTGCCTTTCTCAGATTGTCCTTTCTCTCCTCCCCACCTTCTTGACTGTTTGCTCTCCAAAAAGGGTTTGGACTCGATTATAATACATTATCCTATTACATGATATCTTCCCTCTCCCAAGAAAGAAGAATTTAGAAGAGTTTGGCTTTCTTCTTCATATCGTTGCGTCTCCAGAGAGGTAACTTATCAAATTCCTGTATCGTCATGCCAAATATTTCTTGAAAAACTTCAGGTGCTAAATGACGCTAAAGAAAGACAGGGCAGAAGTACATTATCACTCAAGAACTAGAAACAGGCAATCTAGATATCACAGCATTACCCTCAGCATATTAGATCTAATATACCAGGTATAATATAAAGTCCTGAGCAATGGATAAGGTCAGTGTCTTATAGCAAGCATCAGGTGGCCTTTTTGCTTTTTTTTTGGATGCCAAAGCATCCAATATTAGAATACCTCCCCCCCATTTTTTTTTACTCTTCAGGGATTTTAAATAATGAGATGGAAAATTATAATCTCTAGCCAATAGAAATGATAGTCAAGCATTGCAATGGATAACTCCGCAGACAATTTAAAGATTGAGCAGTTGTCTAGCTCAAGTAGCCTTTCCCTACCAAGTGCCCTCCAGAGATCTTGGGACTACTACCCTGTTGAGATATACAATATCTGGAAGACTCAATACACAAGTAGCTTGCCAATGCTACTGTGATGACATCTGCATAAAGAAAACTTAGTATATGCATCTATACACACAAGGACTGTATCAAGATATTGTACTTTCCTTTGAAGAGAATGAAACTTAAACTGGAACATTTCGGGTATAGATGGAGTTTGATGAAATAGACCAGATTTTATTTCTAAGAATATGCCTGCACATTTGTCTTAAAAAAATATACATATCTTATGCCTTCAGCTGATTCAGCTGATATCTATTATGGACATGAAAGGCCAAGTATTTCTATATAGCAGAGGTATGTACTCACAATCTCACTAATATTTTCTCCAGAATCAATACCCAAATTAGCTGGCTTGAATCTGATGCATTAGGTTGCTGGTGGGGTGTGTGTATACTAAAAAATTGGGCCCTATGTACTCTGATGACATCATTATGTCATGTGATTGAAAACAGTTTTACAACTAGAGCATAACCTTGGGAAAAATGTGGCTGTACACTATGATATGTATGGTTCCAATTCTATACATGTTTACTTTAGAAAGGATCACTCAACCCAGTGAAACTTATTTCTGAGCAGGCTTGCATGGATTGGTGTATTAGTTATCTTTGTATGGATGAAGCGGTTAGTTCAGATTAATGCACTATCTTTATTTATTTATTTATTTATTTATTTATTTGATTTGCCAATTGTTTACAAGATAATAAGTATAAGTGTATACATAGTTGTGAATACATGAAATGGGTACATATAAGAAAAATAAAAGAATCTTGTAAGGTTATGAATAATAGGCAATCCATATCCTTACAAAACTTTCTTTTAATGCCAAATTTGACATCTGGTTCTTACCTCCAACCTGGTTCTATCCACTTCTCTTAGAATTTTATTTCGCCCTCTGTTGGTCACCATGAGTACTTCGTAAGGAAATATCTGTTAAGCAGATAGAAAAGGCCTTTATGTAGAATTTATTAAATGCCACGAATAGACATCAAATTCACAAGCATAATGTGGTCATTGTCAAAAGACAGCTGCAAGTTCATTACATGGCTTCCTTGGAATATTTGTTATTGAACAATGAAGTCTCATAATTATAAAAATGTGCCATCTATGTTCTCTCCCTC